GAGACTTCAGGGAGGAAGAGCAACTAGATAGGAGCCCCTAGTCCTGAGGCCCCTTTAGCAGGAAAGGGTCAGCACCTATGTATCTTCTAGTCAGAGGGTCTGGGGAAAGTCTCAGATCCTGAAATATATGCAGACCATTATTAAGTAAAACAAACAAACCAACCTGTAAATACTCCCCTTGCATCTTGTACAGTGACCTCACTGTGGCTGGATGCTAATGCTGTTTCTTCTGGTGAGATCTGGGTCCTGGAAGAGGACAGTATAGAGGGTGGGGCAGTATAGAGGTGGGGGTGGAAGACAGCCTCCTTAGCCAGCAGCTTCCCCACGCAGGAGCCGGGGGTGACTCAAGCAGCCATCTTGCCACTCTAGACCAGCATGCTGGAGATAGCACGCACCAGACAGGGGGAGTGAGCTCTGTCCCAACTCCAGGTCAACATAGTGCCAAGTGTAGCTGAGACAAAGCGTCCTGCTCAGCCCTGACCACACAGACCAGTTCAGATTTTTAACAAAGCTGCTACCGGAGAAAGGATGGTCTCCAGTGGGAAGAAGAGTAGCAGCCCACACAAGACTTAAACCCCGAATCTATATCCAGGCCACAAGAGAGGCGTGTACAGAGAAGGGTAGCCATGAGGGATGGGAGAGCAGCTCAGCTTGCCCTGCGTACCCACACTCAAAACAATAGCACATGTGCCCCACAGAGACCACTGAATGTTTTGTATACAATAGCACCAAATTTTTTTTAATGAATTAACTACCTGACTAGATGATTCTCAGAAAATGTAGAAGGACCAACAGGCGAGAAAATGCTGGAAATATAAACCAAAGCCACAATAATACAGCAACTCACCTGTTAGCTGTTTTATCAGGAGGCTGTAGCCTTAACCACGTGGATGGGGTGTCAGCTAGTACAGTCATTTTGAAAACAACACTGCAGACAGACGCGTGAACATTTCTCCAGAAATGAAGCTCGTGTCTTCAGAGGCACCTGCCTGTCTATACTTGGAGCATTGTTTGCAACAGCCCAGATACCAACCAGTGTCCATCTGAAGATGAGCGCCCAGAGAACTTCGCTACATGATGGCGTGTTGGTTGTCCCTAAAAGAGGTTTAAATCCTATCCTTGTGGCAACTAGGTCATGTTAGGTGAAACAGGCCAGGCACAGAGACAAATGCGGCATGGCCTCATGAAGCTGTATAAGACAGCTTCCTCGTGGGTTTGAGAGTGGAGTGTCATGGAAAATGGAGGAGAGGCTGGTTGGTAGGTGCTAAGTCGGACATTCTCAAACTACATATTTACATCTTTTGTCCCGGTGCTCTCTTCATAATAAACCTGCAGAAGAGTAATTCCTAAAACCATGTGACCGTCAAAACTGAACTGTCCTCAGTCTCCTCTACCCCTGTCATCAGCCCAAAATTCCTGAGTGTAGTCTCAAGCAGGTTCTTAGGACAAGGGCATAAAGCACACACATTTGCCAAAATCTCAAGGATGGTCTCTAGCCACGTTGCTAATACTGCTTCCTTCACTTCGCTGTCAGCATCGCTATGTTCCACACTCCTGCTGGATGGCTGAGCTCACTGCTTTTCTTAGGCACTGTCCAAACAAGCAGCATGATCAGGGTTGTCAAGGCGACACCCTAGAGCCTGGTGCCGGCTTGTCTCAGTCACTGTACTGTGCTGTGAAGAGACACCATGACTAAGGCAACTTAGATAAAAGCATTTAATTGGGGGGCTTGCTTACAGTTCAGCGGTCCCTGTCAATCATGGCGGGAAGGATGGCTGCAGGCAGGCATGGTGCTGGAGCAATAGTTGAGAGCTGACATCTTGATGGGTAGGGGACAGAGAGGGTGAAACGGCACGGCCTGGCAAGGGCCTTTGAAACCACGAAGTACTTCCCCGGTGACATACCTCCAGGCCACACCTCCTAACCCTTAAACAGTCCAACAACTGGGAATCAAACATTCAAAATATAGGAGCCTGTGGGGGGCATTTTCATTCAAACCACCACAGGAGAGTTCTATCTATATTCCAATGGTGGAACGCAGTAACCAACTGAGGGCACCATTTCAAACCCTGCATGTGGCCGCTCCCATAGCAAGTGATGCTTAAGGTACTGGACAATGTCCTGGCTTCGGCTGTGGTGGTGCAGGGCTCAGCCCATTTGTGTGGCCCCAGCCTGGTCTGCCTGGGGTGGGCTCTCCTCAGCTCTGGTGAGGTAATCAGTGGGGACATGGGAAACCAACTCACCTGCAGTTTGCCTCTGATGAGCTGTGCCGGTGACGTCAACCTTTCAGAAACAAAACAGATGCCTTGCCTGGCTGCAGCTGTAGCTTACACTCCTACAGAGAAACAAAACAACGGGGCCCAAGCGGAAACTTGACAAAGCATGGTGGTAATCATTTTCTGCAAACTGGAACTCCCCATCGTTATTGTATGGAGGCTGGTAGCATCCTCATCTGGCCAGAAGTAGCTGAGGAAATAAGACCTGAACCACGTGTGACGTTCCTGTGGTTTTCCTGCTGCTGGTGCCCCTCAAGGTTGGCTCTGTCTAGGGGCTCCTGTTCTCCCTCCGAGCTAATGCAAGGTAAACCCTACAAACTCACAGCATGACCCATGGGCAATATGGTACAGACTGCCCCTGGCTCCCACTTTAGGGACCAGCCAGGCAGGGCCCCCCATACCTCTAGTCTTACTCAGCTCTGCTCAGCTGTTACTTTAGGAGTCTGCCTGGGCTTAGGTGTACCTAGTTCTCACTGCCAGGTCAGACTGAGGAAAGCAAAGAGGAACTGATTACAGGGTCCCTAGGGACACACCGAGTACAACACACCTGACTCCCAATGAGGTCTGCTGTGACCGTGTTCGTCCTTAGTTGAGCAAGGTTCTGGATGTCCCTTGGTGCTGGAGAAGAAGTGGTAACAGGCGTGGAGAGCTGAGGCAGGAGACGTTAGTCACCAGCTCTTAGCTGTCACAAAGGTGCAGCTGGAAGTGAGCTAGTGTTTAAGGTGACAGGTAAAATGGCATCAGTTAAGCCACAGGGTGACTAGAGAAGGTGCCACAGAGCTGGCAGGGCCACCCCGTCCTAAAGGAGGTGGTGCCGGGGCGGGCTGACCTCAGGGCACAGGAAATAGTTGAGAGCAGCCAGCAGAGGTGGACTGTGGCAGGGTGATGGGGAGCCAAGAGGGCCCTGTGAGAGACAGGGCCAGACATGGAGAAAATAAGGCACGAACTCGGGCATAGAAGAAGTGCTTTATTTCTGCAGTGAGCCCACAGTGGCATTGCACACACGGTGAACTGAGGGTCGCAACACAGCTTGCCAAGTGAGGATGCCACACCACCGCAGGGTCACAACCCAAACACTGCCCTGGGAGCTTCCTCAGAGAACCATGCCCAGGACTAGCACGATCCCGTCGAACCTTCAAGAGACCCTTGGAGGAGTACGGGGTCAGCACTTGCAGTCTCCACTGGCTCAGGAATGGTAGCCATGGAGGGGAGGTGGCCCCTCTTCTCTGGAAAATCCAGTTTACACAAATTTGGTCAGAGTGGCTTACGGGCACCGCCCATTGCCACCTATGGGGTGCTGTCCCCTCACTCCAAAGGCAAAACCCAAGCCAGTCACCTTGCTTTCCCAGGCACTGGGGACAGCTATGGAGGTATAAAGTGGCCTTGGGGACATCAGCCCCAGGCCAGTCTAACAAGGAGGTTCCTAGCTCTCAGGCCACTTTTGGAAGGCCATCCTGAGACCCAGGGGCTGTGGGACTCCACATCTCCAGCCCAGCTTTGACCATACCTTGTCTCTGGCTGTAACCCCTGGGAGTCACAGATAGTACCCCACTTTCAGGCATATACTGTGCTGGGCTGGGAACCCTGCTTTGCCACCTCCAAAGTAGTAAGCACCACTGTAACTGGGTAGACTGAGGCTGGAGACAAGTGCAGGGCCACCACTCTACCTCAGCTAACTAACTGCCCAAGGCTATAAATATTCCAGCTGCAAATGACAGGTACTGAGAGGACATCAATCACAGGTTGCAGGGGTGATCGCATCCTTGGTTGTGGGTGGGAACTGTCTGTCCAGAAGCCCCACTCAGTTTGACCTCTAGCGGCAGGGGTGGGGACAGAAGAGGAACGTGTGAGGCCACAGTGCCCTGCCCGCCCACTGCTATACTGGAAGCTTATTCTGGAACAAGTACTATTCCTGTACATCTTTCAAAGTGAAGGACAAGGAAAGGACGGTGGGGTGGGGAGGGGTTCTTCCTTACCCTAGGGAAGTGAAGCGCAGCTCACACAAGCTCATGGCCTCTCGTTCTTCTATTGCCAGGGATGCCCAAGCCCCATCCAGAAAAGCGATGGATGCATTCCAGCAGCCCATGGCCAGTCCAGCCACTCCCCTCCTTCCTGGCGACTCCAGAAACTTTAACATTGGGTGCTCCACTTGGTAGCACAGGGCACTGCAGGGCCTAGGGCCGCTAATAAGCGCTCCCCTCCTGCCAGAGCCACTGTCAGGGTAAACACTCAGAATCAATCATTGTGTTGCAAAATAACCAGAGCATGGCCAGTGCCCGCAGTGCCAAGTCGCCTCAGCACTACTACGAGGCTCCATTCACCACGCAGGGGGCAAGGCGACAGTAACACAGCAGAGCAAAGCTAATGGGGAACTTCCTAGGAGGCAGTTCTCTGCCATCCAGAGGGACGTCTGTAGTCCTAGGCAGGGCCGAGCCATTTCAGTGCCAAGCAGCCTCCACACACCGAGACCCACTTTGGCTGTGGATTTCACCCTCTTTCTCCATGTTTACAATCCCGTTATCTTCTAAGTTAGAAAGGACTGGAGATTGGCCGGGTTAGCTGTGCACTCTGGTCTGACAATTGTGGAGATGGCTTAACTACTGAGCAATTTCTTAGACAATTCAAAAGTCACGAGGAAGGGGAAGGAATCAGCCCAACGGACACATCCCTCTCTTGCTGAAAAGAATTTCCTTTTCTAGTCTTCTAGGAACAGAACACTTGTAATGGATTTGTCCAGAATCAACACTTCATTTAATAAAAGTGGAAAGTGACAGCTGAAAGAGCCCACATCTGTAACAGGCTTGGAACTCAATAAAGGCAGAACAGGAAAAGTACGGAGGGCTTAGGAGATGCTCAGTCCCAGTGTGAGGCTGCCTGAAGCTGCTCTACAGAGCCCAAATGGTCCCCCAGGAGCCCCTGTGGATGACCCTGAACTCTTCTTCCAAAAGCCCCAGTGCGGACATCTGCCATCCTAAAGAACATGATCTAAAGGAGCGCGAGCAGCTCTGCAGAGCCCAGGTGACCTAGACGCAGGTGCCCCTTCACAGTGGGCATTGCCAGGGGCATCACGCAGCAGCTACTCTCCAAGCTCTGCTCTTGTTCACACACTGTTGACCTTACGGCGAGGGCAGGGCTGAGGGAGCAATGGCTCACACTGCCTCTGTCCCCTATCCTATGACTGTGGCTCCTTGGCACCCAACGTCCACCAGTACAGTGCCAGGTGCTGGGTGCACAGGATCGTCCGAGTCCCAGCCAGCATGCCTGTTGTTCCCACTCCAGTCTCATTTCCAGTCTGCTGGCCCCAGGGGAGACTCCTGCAGGGGACGAGCCAGGCTCAGTCCTCTGGAAATGTGGACCTACCTACCTTAGAGGTGCCTGTGGCCTCGAGACACATCAGCATGCCCATCAGCCAAGGGTGAGCTCCCGGGTCTGGTGGGAGGTAAGCCAGCCAGTGTCCTCCTGCACCCTAAGCAGGCATCTATCTAAGAAAGGTTTCCCAAGGGCGGCCACTCAGGCTTGCTACAGTTCTCAGTACTCCCCACTGGCATCTGTGACTTTGATGTCCCATCTCCCCTCCGCTTATTTGATGGAGGGGACCATGGCAGTGCCGACACAGAAGGGAACCAGAGTCTATAGTCATAACCTGAACACACAACAGTATCCTAAGGAGAAAGAAGTCACAGGTATGGGTCTGGGATATGGGGAATGGGCTGCCAAGAGCACCACGTGCCCAGGGCTTAGCATGATAGGTGTGTGTGTTGACATCTTGGGTGGACAACGTGGCTTCTTGTCAACTCAGTCCCACTGAAGCAGGAGGATTGCCCTGAGTGTGGCCAACCTAGGCTACACAGAGAAGAACTATCTTAAGCAAATAACTGAACAAGAACAAGACAAATGAGCCCTCATGCATTACCCTCACGGGAAGAGATTCCACCCTCCACAGGTTGGGGTTCCTTGTGCACTGGCAGGGGGCGCTGCTTGTAGAGATGTTGAGTGGACAGACAGTTCTCCAGGCTGCCTGGCAGCACCCCATAAACAATAGGGGCACCCTATCCACACAAGGGAGCCTCCTCCCTGAGGCAGCCATACCACACAGCCATGAAGCCAGAGGTTCGGACTGCGGACTAGTCTCCCCCAGGACCAGCTCTGCACCTAGGCCTGAATGCACAGGAAGATGACCCCTACTGCAGCCTGAGGCCTCGTGCTGCCAGCTCTTCAGTGTGGACAACCCATTCCAATTAAGTCAAACTCAGAGAAAGCTGGCTGGGCCACCCTTTCACTTCTAGAGCAGGACCCAACCCTGAAGCTCCACCATTCTCTGAACGCGCTCACAGGAAGTGCTAAGGAGACCTCACGGGGCCTCAGGATGCAAGAGGGAGGTGCAGAGGCAGGAGCTATGCATGGGCGTGACAGTGGGAGCTGCATGGAGCTGCAGCAGTTAAAGATGGAGGCCCCTAAGAATCTGTTCTTCACCATCCCCAGGCCTGTGCTCCTGACACCCCATCTGTTGGCTGGACAAGCGCAGCCAAGCCACGAGGCCCGCAGAGTCAGCCTAGGACTGGGCAGCGTCTGTCCTCAGGCTTCTGGGTGGTCCTCCAGCAGCTGACACGGCCACTGCCTCCAGGCTGCCTCCCTCCCAGGCTGGTAGGTGCGTCCATCAGGAATGACAGCTAATAAAGTGACAATTTGATCAATTATGAACTCCAATGTCCAAAGATTGGTTTGTACATTGTGTGTCTGGTTGAACTTGGAGGATTTTCCTGGTCAGGCTCAGTGCCATGACGAGCCACATCCGGTGTCATTTAGGAGGGGCAGCTTCTGCTCTGCCCGCCTGCAGGCACTGCAGACTGAGGAAGACCCTTGCAACTGCAGAGGGCTAGAGCAGTTCCACAAGGCTGCAGCAGCTATGATGCAGCAGCTGAGGACAAACTACACGACTGTAAACCACCAAGTAGCAATGCAAAGGCAATGGGGACTTGGGCCTGGGCCCTTTTCTGGTTGTCAAGGCCTAGGGTTCCTTCTTGTACTGAGCTTGGCTTGTCTCTAGATTCCTTCTGCACTGGTACCTTGGTAACATTAGAGGTAGGAGCTGACGGTGGACTTGGAGAATCGAGACCCACTTCCTCCCCCTGGAGACTGCCTGAAGACTGGGGAGAACATGGGTCCCTTCTGTCCCCTGGGGGAAAATTCTGGTTGGGGTGGCTTTTGCAGCCAGGTCTGCTCTTCCCAGAGATGGGGGAGGGTGCTGCACATAGGGCCCGCCTTGGAGGGCACACTCCTGCCCCACCCAAGTCACACCGAGTCCTCTGCCTTCTTTATTGGTGCTGTTGGTTGGGTGAGCGTGAGTTGGGGCCCGGACTCGGGGGCAGTGAGCTGGCGCTGGGCGCTCGCAGTGCATGAGGGTCGAGCTGCTGACTGGGGGTGTTGGGGTCCCCTGTCCCCGGTTCCTCACTGCTCTCTTCTTTTTGGCTGCTCTGCTGCTCCGGACACTCAAAGTGGACACAGTGGAACACCTGTGAAAACAGAAAAGACTAGTGAGACGTGGCTCCGCCTGAGCATGGAGGTTTGAGCCACGATGATGCCACACCCTGGTGTGCTGGGTAAGTGTGGGAAATCTCCCAGCGCCCACCTTGCTCCGTGCCTGTCTTGGATACCTGGAAGCAACAGGAAGGTTTAGATGCACGTGGTCGATCATGATAGATGCAAAAAAGACGGACTATTCTCAAGTTACACACGTCCAGCATGGACACCTTGGCAGGGCCCAGGCTGGAACTCGGCTTTTCTCCTTAGGTCTCTTCCTCTCTTTTGGATCATCCTTTCTTAAAAAATACTTTTAAGGGAGAAGGGGAAGGAAGGAATGAGGGAGGGACAGAGGGAAGGAGGGAGGGAGACAGGAAAGGAGGAAGGGAGAGAGAGGGAGAGGAAGAGGGGGGATCTCAGTGAATTCTTTTAAAATATAACTAGAATTTTTTCCAGAGTTATTAAAATGTGTTGAAGTTTCCTGGCTAAAACCTTTCCATGGTTGCGTTCAGGTTCCGGCTGCGTTGTTCGTTAGCCAGTTAAATTCTCTTTTCTCAGCCAGGTGTTCCCTTCAGGAAGCTGAGGTGGGAGGATCTCGGGCTAGGCAGGCTGTCTTTGCTCCCTCTTGGCAGAGCGAGAACACCAAGCCCTAACCTAATTGACATGGTTCCTCCTCCTTGTCTCTTGCTCTGCCACCCTCCTCTGCTCAGGACCATCCTGGGCTCTGCAGGCCTGTGCTGCTCAGCCCCTCTGCCCTGACGAGTGACTAGATCAAGAAAAACCTAAGCTGAAAAGAAAGTTGCAAGGACCAGGGATGGCTCTGCCTGTGCTAGAGAAAGCCTGCGCTGTGCACACCAGGCCTGGCTCCCACCCTTGCTGCATCTTCCCATGGTCTCACTGCATTACATCTCGCACGCCACTGTGTCCAACTGCGCCGGCAGGGTCACATGCAAACGATGCTTCCCAGTGCTGTCTTCCTGGGGTCTACTCATCCACAAGGGCCATACCCAGCTATCCCCCAGGCCCACACAAGTCACGTGAGTCTACTTGAGTAGAATCTACCCAAGCTGAACCTTCCTGCATGAGTCCTGGTGACCCTGGGAGTTGCAAGGTCACATAATGACCAGACATAAAGAACGAGGGCTTCTGAGAGCCATTGTGGTCTGTGACCCGACTCCCAGCTGACCCCTGCAAACCCTGAGCCCTTCAGGCTTCCGTAGTCAGGGTGGCATACAGGATGCCATTCATTTACTAAGTCACAGCCTCCAGACAGAAACACGGATGAACTGAAAGAAAGAAAAGGAGCCCGGAACAGGGACAACGGTTACCACTGACACACTGACGGGACAGCAATGGTCCTGCAGCGACTTCGGACTCTCAGACCTGGGCGGGCTTGGGTGTGCTCCAGACGGCTCTCCCTGGCCCTCCTCACAATCCCCACAGATGCTCATGAGTCCTCTTTGTTCTTTCAATGTACAGCAATTGCCGAGCCCAACTGTGACCTAAGGGGCAGCTTGCAGTGTCCTCACCATGGAGAGGGGCAAGGGGAACCTGCTAGCATACTGGGGTGCCTACCACACGCGGGGTCCTGACACGAGGCATGGAGTGGACCTTAGGGAGCACTCCAGAGAAGCGTTCCCTATAATACAGAGAAGACTGCATATACCAGGCATCAAAAACCTGGGAGGCAGACAGGATGAGAGTGGCCTGCGAGGCAGAGGGGACACTAGGCACATGCAGTCCAGGTCTGGCCCTAGAACCTCACTCTGGCAGCTGCCTTCCACCTGCTTTTGTCACCTGTCAACTGTGCCAGGCTCAGTTCCCAGCCCAGCCAGGCATATGCACCCAGTCCCCACACGACCCAAGATGCTTACAGACACCATGTGGATGCCATGGTACCGCAGTTCTCCAGCATCACCATACACAGGGCAGGGCACTTTCTCCAGGACCCCAAACACCTTTCAGTTTGTACACTTCTCAAATGGAAGTGAAACCCCGTCCACTTCAGGGTAGCCACGCAGCCATGCTGGTCCTGAGGCTGCCTATAGTCAGTCTCACAGCGACCTAAGGGAAGGTGGCTTTTCTGGATTAATGGCTTGAGCAAGTGGGGCTCTCACAGAGGGCCCAACTGGCCATGTTCCTGCACCCACCCCTCCTCCCCTCTGCCTACCACGCACTTACAGGCCTCGCATGAGATGAAATGACTAAGCTCTGGCTTTCTCTTTGCTTAGGAGCTGGTGTGATTCAATTTCCTTCCTCTGAGCCTTCCCCAGACTGCAGTACTCCTTGGAAAGGAGGTGACCAAAAGTGAATGAGGCATACCGGGCAGAGCCACACTTCTGATTTATGCAAAGCCATTACCATGGTCTCCGCATCATTTTCCCTTCAACTTTTCGGCAATCGTGTATCCCATTAGCCTGTTTGATTGCTGCTGTTCGTGAAGGGGCACCTTCGCTGAACCGTCTTCAGCAGCCCGGGATCTCTCCCCCGAGAGGAGCGGCCAATTTGCAATGTAGTCATGTGTATGAATCAGGCCGGCCTTACTCTCAGCCGGGTGGCCTTCCTTGTGGCTGCCGTTATTCTCATGTTGCCAGGCCTCTGCGGGAGCTCTAATCCCGAATGTGTCTGAAATGGTCTGGCACGTTCCTTTCTGTGAGCCTGTGCAGCAGGTGTGTGCCGTCCTGACCTCCTTCAGAGCTATGATTCCCCAGGCACCATGGGCAGACCTTTTCAAGGTCTGAACAGGAGGGGAAGGGAGGAGAACTGGGGAGAGACTATTAGCGCAGTATGAACTGTAGAAGATATTGGGGGGAAAGGAATAAATACTGATCACTGACTCCACCTGGCTTCTGCGGCTTCTGGGTAATTTTCACAGACCACTCTCCTGCCAACCAGAACAAACAGGACGTCTGACCCACCCTCCTGACTTGTATTTCCAAGGTGACGGCCTATATAAAGTAGACAGCCAGCTTCCTCTCACTGGCTGCCCATAAGTAAGATGGAAGTCTGAGGTCTGTCCCCCTTCAATCACCAAATTAGATGTTAGCCAGCCCAGCTATGGTAGCCAGTGAGCTCCCTGGTGCTCACCTCAGAGCTGCCCGGAGCAATCCAGATCCAGACCACAAACAGCTTGTTTATTCCTTTTAAACAGAAGATCAAGGTGCTGGCACACACCTGTAATCCTGGAACTTACAGATCTGAAGCAGGGGGATTGTGAGCTAGAAGCTAGCTTGCTATGTTGTAAAAATATGTCTCAAAAAACCAAATTGACCAACCAAACAACAGTCCAAATCAGGAGCAGGAAGGACAGGGCACTGTTCCCAGGTCTCGGTCGGGGATGCCTGAGCTCCCAGTCTGGGTAGATCTGAACCAGGGACTCCTAACGAGAGGAGTCAGAGTGGTGGGAGGTGAAGGTGGCAGTGTGGCCTGTCTTCCCGTGTCCAGGCCCCACCTTCCTGCCACATGTCAGCTGTTCTCACAGTATGCTAGAGGGTTAGGCCTCCAGGACAAGGGACACGACCTTGGTGAAGGCCCCACTTCTTGTGACTAGTGACTGCGAGCGGGCTCCCTCTGACTCCTGCCCAGCACGCTAGGCCATGCAGCCTGAGGGAAGGACTGGTATGTGCCATCCACACGCTCTACTCTCAAGAGCTATGGTGCACTGGGCACTGGGTCAAACCCTCCTGCTGGGACCGCCCACCGAAGCTGTCCAGGGACCCAGGCCACTGCTGCCCCTACACACTCTCTCTGGCCCAGCACCTTATCCTGGTCCACAGTACCTTCCTTGTCCATGGTGCCGCGTGAAGCTCTGTGTGCCAGGGTCAGCTCCTGCTGTGTGCATCTTTCTCTGGCCACTGAGACACAACACCCCAGGGGGGGCCAGGCTCTCCCCAGGAGCAGAAGGGCCTACAAGCTGGGGCTGTCTCATGCAGAGTGGGTCTTCTGCACTCAGTCTGTCTCCACCTGCGGCCTGCTGCATGCCTGCCGCTGCTCTGGGAATTCTCAGCAGGAGGCTGCTTCAGGCACCTTCTACACCTAGATGATGTCTCTGGGGAGAACATGGCAGAAGAGTCCTTCAGGGGTCAGGGCACACCCAGAGGGTTCTGGAAAATAATTACCCCAGGCCAGCAAGGAACATTTATTTAGGTTTCATAGTTGTTTTCCTGGCTTTATTTTCCCACTAAAGCCACATGTTGCTATGGGAACGAGGTGGCACTCAGTGGCCTGATGGAGCCTGTGGGTGAAGCCGACCTCAGCATGGAAGGCAGCTCAAGCAGCCACGTGCAGACCCTGCCCTGCTGCTGGCCTGTGGGGCCCTCTGCAGCAAGCTCACAGCTGGTTACGGTTCCCGACACATGGCAGAGGTGTGGACCCATCTGCAAGCCCCTCCTCCACATGCTCCATGGCCGCTGTTTTATACAGAGAGCGGACCCTGCCCTCCTACCAGCCCTGCACACACCCCCATCAGCGCCATCTCAGCTGCCCCTCTACCTCTGTCCACCATTTATTTCAACATGACCAGAGATACGAATGTCACCGGAGGCAACAAAAGAGGACACTGCCAGGCTGCAGTCCCCACGCTCTACCTTAGTTTCTTTCTAGACCTAGCGGATCTGGTGCTCAAGGCAAGCCCATCAGAGTGTAAGCACTGTCCTAAGCTACGGGCCAGCGTGGAGTAGAGCCCGCTCTGGCACCTGAGCATCGGTTACCATTTCCTGGGAGAGACAGCAGTCGAGAGCCAGTCTGACCAGATGCCTCCACATACAGTTTATACATGTATACAGTTGGGTGAGAATTACACGCACTGAGCCACAGCTTGACTCAAGCCTTCTTAGCCCAGGAACTTTGTTTGGCGGAGGAGCAGCTGTCCCCTGGCCTTTGTCCTCAGCAGTTTTATCACTTGTGGGTCTCTCCTGGTGTGAGCGTATGTAAAGGGGGTCCTACTCCATGGGGGCCCCGGTGTCCTTCAGAGCACTATGATGCACAGCCAGCATGGAGTCTTCTGTAGGCAGTAAGCATGGGTCCATCGGGGAGGAGGAACACTTCCCGGTCCCAGGGGGAAGGCTGGGGGAAATCAGAAGAACTCAAACAGGCTACCAAGAGCTGACCTCCACAGACTGGGAGGCTGCCATTGCTGGGAGCCACCTACATCTGAGGGAAGAGGGGCGTCACCACAGCAGACACAGGCTGAGCCTCTGGACACAGGAGGGCCTGGCCAGCCACAAAACCCCAATCTGCCTGCGTCTGGAAGCCTCCTCCAGCCCTGCTGGTATCCAGCCCTGCTATCCTAAGCCAGCTGGATGTCCCAGGTCAAGGCAGAACCCACCACAGAGCTGCAAAGCTGGACCTTGCAGGGCTCTAAACAAGCAGCTTCTCCAGCCACACGCACACCGATAGGACACCTAGTCCCCGTGAATGCCCTTCCAGCCTCAGGAGGCCCTGCACGGTCTCCCACGGCCCTTGCTCTGCACGCCTTCTCTGAAGAATTCCCCAGCAAGGCAGCTCCTGTTCCTCTTTTATGTACACAACTGTGTATTTTGTGACCAATGAATAAATAAATGAAAATTAGAACCCAGGTTCTCCTGTGCAACTTGACACCAGCAGCATCAGCACAGGTCTGTGGTACAAGCACTTGGCTGAAGGAAGCAAGTGCTGTCCTATAATGGAGGCCACAGGAAGAACCATACGGCCGAGGTCATAGGTTCATATGGTGAGACCCTGGCCCTGCCCCCACGGTACAGCCTTAGGAGGCAGGGCCATTGAGGGCCACTAGATTTAGAAGCTAGTGTCCTCACAGGAGGAGAGAGGGACCCTGCTCACCAACTCCCTTTCCAGGTATGTGTTCCAAGAAAGGCCTTGTAAAGGTGGACAGGTGAGCCAGCTCCTCCATCAACACTGTGTGCACCCTGGCCTGGAAGGCCAGCATCCTGAGCACGAGAAACAAGTGTCTATCACGTTAGCCATACAGCAGATAGGCTCTGCCCTGGCAGTGCAAGCCACCATGGCCACTGAAGTCACCTGGCAGCCGAGCAGGGGCAGGCTGAGGAAACCCTGCTTCTCCTTACCCCTATTTATGACAGCATGCTGCTGGCTCCCCCAGGGCCAACACTGACACCTAGCTTCCTTTCCCCGACTGTGCCCTACGCATCAGCCCATCAGCTGGACACTCCTGCCTGGCCACATCATTCTCCCTTCGAGCTGCCCCAGGTGTTCTGCCCACCCAGCCCTGAGTCATTCTCCTCTCCCTGTTCCAGAGGATATACAAGACCCAGCAGGGACAGCAAGGAACTTTCTCCCGGGGAGTCTGCCACATCCTCCACGCCCAGGGAGATGCACCTGCTGCCCCTCCAGTGCCCTGGAGAACGACAGCTTCCTGTTCATCATGCATTTTATGATTTACGATGTTTTCCAATTGACAACACTATGTTGAGGCTTTATTTTTCCAATCAGTAACTGACTCTGGAAGGCAGCTAGGGAAGTTACTCACCAGCCAGACGAGGCAGGTGACCATGTCAGGCTGCCCTCTAGCTAGGCCCACTGACACTCTGTGCAGAGACCCGGAGGAAACCCCCTCAACAGAGACCCTGCACCCTGCTGTACAGTACTGTGGCGGGAGGTGGAGCTTCAGAAAGAGCTGCGCTGAAACCCAGCGTCCAAGGTTTTCCCCTTGCTTTGGTCAGAGTGCTGGTGGTGCCGAGTGTGGCCTCCTTCCTGACTTGAGAAGCCCTTCGTGGAACACAGCATTCTGGAGTTCCAGCTAGGCATTTAAGCAGAAGACTAGATTTCCTGGGCTGGGGGGAGGGGAGGAGGGGCTTACCGTATTAGAAAGACTCCGAATAGAAAATATTTTAGTTTTGTTATTTGTATAGATAAAGCTACATTGTTCTTTTTAATTCAGGAGTAATATACATGTAAAGTGTAAGAGGTAGGAAGTCTCGGAACTCAGATCTGCACAGATGGATAGGTGGTTCAAAGCACATCCCGCTCTTCCTAGCACCACATCAGGCAGCTCACAACTGCTTAACTCCAGCTATCAGAGGCTGAAGGTACCCACATGCACACTTATGGACATAATTTAAAATATGACAAATTTCAAAAAGAACAATTGGAACTTATTTTAAGACTATTCATTTGAAAACAAAACATTAAATGCAAATTCAAATTTGTTTTTGATATAACACAAAAAGACAAGTGGCCTTATGACCTGATAGCTACTTGTCTACTTATTCCGGTTGTAAGGACAGTCCTGTTGTTACAACCCTGGCTTACCTGGTGTCACTGTGCCCAGCCTAGCCTTGCACTCAGAGCTGTCCTCCGGCCCTGACCTCCTGAGTGGCAGGGTTTCGGGAGTTGGCCACCATACCCACTTATGACTCAAACCTTAGACAGCCATCAATTATCAGCTGATTACTATTCTGAAATTCTCAAGTTAGTTTTGAAGAAGTAGGAGAAGATGTTTGGGGCTCTATTTAGAAGCTGTTCTCTGTAGGAAACGCACTGTGGGTTTGGATCATTATTATCCTAAATAAGTAAGGGCACATGGATCTAAATTGCAACACGATTTCCACTTTTGGGGCTGTTCTTGGAGCACTAGACATACCTAGATAGTTTCTAGACGGCACACTGGGCCAGCTATACGGTGTGTAGGTCAGGTACAAAGTGACAGCGTGGAGCCTGTGTTTAAGCAGCAGAGGAACACATGCTCCCCAGCATGTCTCCTTCATGAAGCATGCCTTTCAGTTTGCTATCTAACGTGTTTCTCCGTCACATGTAGGGACGCCCTGTGGCTAGTGCAGCCCTTGCACTCTCCAGGACCCTATCCCAGAACCTGCACTCTGACTCACAAGTCACCTTCTTGAGAAGAAAAGGGCAGGAAGCCAGCACATGAGACCCACTGGTGTGGGCTCTAACGCCGAAAGCAAAAACACAGAACGCTTCCAGAGGGAGCCTAGAGCACACTATACACCCCAAGCACAGGGGCGCCACGACTGCTCCGGGGGCACCCGTGAACCAGTGCGAGAAGAGAAAACGACCATGAGCCATGACTGCCCTTTACTCTCAGGCTTCCTGTGCTCCTCTTCCATCCCAACACACTGCCAGAGGCACATACTGACATGGAGACATACGGACATACGGACATACTGACATGGAGACATACGGACATACGGACATACTGACATGGAGACATACGGACATACGGACATACTGACATGGAGACATACGGACATACTGACATGGAGACATACGGACATACGGACATACTGACATGGAGACATACGGACATACTGACATGGAGACATACGGACATACGGACATACGGACATGGAGACATACGGACATACTGACATGGAGACATACGGACATACGGACATACTGACATGGAGACATACTGACATACGGACATACGGACATACTAACATGGAGACATACGGACATACGGACATGGAGACATACTGACATACGGACATACGGACATACTGACATGGAGACATGGAGACATACGGACATACTGACATGGAGACATGGAGACATACGGACATACTGACATGGAGACATACGGACATACTGACATGGAGACATACGGACATACTGACATGGAGACATACTGACATACCGACACACGGACATACTAACATGGAGACATACTGACATACTAACATGGAGACACACCGACATGGAGACATACTGACATACCGACATACTAACATGGAGACATACTGACATACTGACATGGAGACATGCTGACATACTGACATACTAACATACTAACATGGAGACATACTGACATACTGACATACTGACCAGCGAGACAGGGACTGCACAGCGACAAGAGCACAGCTAGATGCCGCGCGGGGCACTGCCATCTGAGGAGAGAAGGGCGCCTCATTTCTCAGGGTCTTGTAGGCTGTTTCCACCCAGGCTGGTGGAAGAATCCAAGCAGCACCTGCTGACTTTCTCTTGCCAGCGAGCAGAGCCCTGACGATGGCACCCCCCTAGTTAGGGGTGGGACTTCCTTTACACTGAGCTGCCGTAACAGCGGCCATTACCGGGCAGGGCAGACAGCTCCACTTAGCCAGGGTACAGCGGTTATAGATGTCACCGCCCTTCTCAGGAGAGCGCCCTTACCTCATTTGCTGTGTTGTGCGTTCCAACGATTCGGATGAAGGAGGCAGGCTGTCTTTCAAAAGTGACTGATTGCCAGGACCTGCAGGAACACAATTTTCCCAGTTAGCTGCTGCAGTTGGCCCAGCTGACAACTGGGTCTACAGGGAGGCAGGGTGGGGTCTCCCCCATGATGTCATGGAAGGAGGCAGAAAAAGCACTGCACCGTCGCATTTGGGAGCCTGCCATGTCACCAGAGCAGGCACTACTGTGTGTACCTGTGCCTCAGGTTCTTAGAAAGCACCCAAGAAACAAAGCAAGACCACTGACCATGCTAGCCTGGTGACAGGAGAATGGCCGACTAGAAACATCACCAAGGGTGGTGGGAGTTTCTAGACCAGGGTCCTCATCTACAGTGTGGCCAGGAGAGGCCTCCTCACTGGGCCGCTGGCACAATCAGCAGGTAGTTCAGCACGTGTGCAGAACCTGAGTTAGGGGTGGGGACTGTCCTGGAAGCTGCCAAGAGGAGAATTCGCAAATAGGGTAGGGGGTGGCTGGGTGGAAGGAGAGGCTGGGGGACATGGCTGGGAGGAACAGGGTGAGGTAGGGGTGTGGCTGGGCAGAAGAGGTGAGGCAGGTTCTCTTCTTGGGCTGCAGCTGCAGAAGTCACTTCAATGCCAGAGCTGGTCCTGGGCAGGAAGTGCCCTAAAAGCCTTTTCTGCTCCCAAACATGGCTCCACGGGGCTTCCTTTCAGGGCTGGTCCATCTATGAGTGACCCCCAAATCCATCTCGATATTTTAGTTTCTTCTCTTCCCCTCCCTCCCATGTATAGTGTGCACGCATCCTTGAGTGCACAGGGGCGGCCAGGGGTTAATTCCGATATCTTCCTCAATGGCTTTCCACCTTACTGTTAGAGACAAGATCCCTCACTGAACCAAGAGCTCGCCTTTTTCAGCTAGACTAGGCTGGCTAGCAAGCTCCCTGCACCCCCTGCAGCAGCACTGGGGCTGTTGGCATGCACTGCTAACCCTGCCCTGAGAGTGGGTGCTAGGATCCAAACCCAGCTCAAGCTTGCACAGCAAGCATGACTCCCACTGAGCTACTGCGCAGCAGCAACCATGCCATTTTTTTTAAATGTGTAGCCCAGGCTGGCCTCGAACTCGTGATCATCCTGCCTCTGCCTCCTTCAGCAAACCCTACCAGCGTGCGCCACCACAACAGCAACCATGCCATTTAAAAGACAAGTCCTCCTCCTCTGCCTGGGCTAGCTCACCTAGAAGCCATGTGTGCAGGAGGAGCCCTGCTCCTGACCTAGCCTTCCTGCCCACTCCAGGCCTCTCTTCTCTAAGCCCTGTGAGCAGCTCACAGTTGCTGCCGCTCCTCCTCCCGCACTGTAGAAACGCCAGCTGCTGCGAAGCTCTTTCCTGTAATTGTCTAATTACCTAGTAATGCTAGCAAAGGAAATATATGTATCTGCAGTTTGTTTTTCCCATTTGGTTTCAGGTGTTCCATCTTCCTTCTCACTATGCACCTCCCACTGAGGCCGATTCACCACCGCCCGGACACCAGTCCTCTTAAGGTCATTAAAAAGCCATTACCACCCTGTGCACAAAGGCTCGCCTCTGGAAGCAGGCTGCTGAAAACAGAGTAAGAAAAATCACTCTCTCTGTAAAAACACTATTACTCATGCAAACAGACAACTCTCCTGCCCATCCCCCATGCATGCCTCTCTACCCTGCTTCCCTGTGGAGGACTCCTGCTTTCCTAGACCCTCAGCTCTTGGGGTACCTGCCAGACAGTCTGTGGGCAGGGGAGGTATGCAAGGCTACGGGGGTTCCACAAGCTGGTGGGAGAAGCAGGGCTGTGCGAAACATCGGAACCTCGCCTTCATCCCTCAAGTTTAGGGACACAGGCTCCAGCTGCCCAGGAATGGGGACACACAAGAGCCTGTAACCATCACTGGGTTTGAGACACAGGGCAGAGTGGGAGGGAGGGAGGCAGAGCGGTGTCACAGATCCAGAGACTCTGGGTTTAAGGTGAGCCCTCTCAGGCCTCACAAAGCACAGGGCTCCAAGCTTATGGGCAGGCTCGCGCTTGCCGCCTCTGCCACAGTTCCCAAGCCATCTGCCTGCGAAGTGCTCTTGGCACACAGGTCTTGTTCCTTGCAGGTTCCCGTGGCCTCTTCTCTTCCACTTAGACTTCTGCCTGGCCTGGGGCTTGGGGCAGGGCAGCAGCTGAGCAGGAGGGAGCCTGAGTTTGTGGAGTAATAAGATCAGAAGGTCTCAATTTAATAGCAATCCTCCATTACATTGCATTAGCATCTAATCACATTAGAGTTCGTTTGCACTAACACGGCCTGAGAGTGGAATATATGATCTCATTTCCCGCAGAACTAGATACCAATCCAAAGAGTGAAGTGACGGAAGCTGTGGGCTCAGGGATGAGCGCCCTCCTCTCTCCACTTTCTGGAGTTGCTCCCTAGAATTTGTTGACTTCCCATGATCCCCGTGAGGAAAGGGAGGCTTCAGAATGCCATCTGCGTCGTCTGTCCTAACTGCTGTGTGGCCTCAGAGGACAGTGCTTAGAATAAACTTTCACAGAACCAAGAAACCAGCACCATGATGCCACACCAGTCAAGGCTGCCTAATGGCCACCTTGCCAAGCACTGCCTCTTCCTGAGCACTGAACAGTGCACTGGGTCTGTCACTGGCTCCCCTAGGCAAGGAGTCATCTGTTCACGTCTCCCTAAGAACAGGACCACTGCATAGGCTCGGATGAGGGATCTGAACCTGAGCAACAGGCCAGAACAGATGCCATCTTCCTTTTGGGATTTGCCACACATCACAAACCACCTACACCTGCAGCTCCTACCCATGCTCTCCCTCCACAGAGACACATCACACTTTTCCCAGGTACTATGGAGTCTTCGCAACTATTCGGAACACGGTCCGAATGAGGCCTCAGTGATGTCCCCTGGGGGACGCATGAGTTCCTGTGTTCAGGGAAGGTATGGGTTGATACCATGATGATGCTCCAGGTTCTCTATGGGGGCAGGGAGCTTGCTGCTCAGCCTGCAGCTCATGAAGGGGAAGCGACTTCTACAAGCTGCCTCGACCTGTACATGCACACGGAATAGAGTGCTTTGAGCAACTCACTGTGTGGCTGGCAGTGTGTGTGCACAGCCATTGAAACCAGCATCTACCTCGCCTACTGCAAGGAGCTGACCCAGAGGCCAGTAGGCAGGAAGACTGGAGAGTGAGAGCACTCTGTCCTGTCATCAGAGGCCTGCTGCTGACACTATGCTCAGTCCTAGTTTCCTGATGTTCAGGATAGACTCAATTTGGACCTTGGAGCTAAGGCACCTGGGGTTTTATTTATTTTTTGAGACAGGGTTTTTCTGTAGCTTTGGAGCCTTTCCTAGAACTAGTTCTTGTAGAGCAGGTTGGCCTCGAACTCACAGAGATCTACCTGCCTCTGCCTTCTGAGTGCTGGGATTAAAGGCATGCGCCGCCACCACCCGGCCTGGCACCCGGGTTTGAATCTCAGTTTGAACATTTTTGTTTTTTGGCATTTTTTTTTGTTTTGTTTTAAAACAAGATCCTAGCTATGTGAGCTGTCCCAGAATTCTGTAGACCAGGCTGGCCTCGAACTCACGGAGATTCACCTGCCCCTGCCTCCTGAGTGCTGGGATTAAAGGGTGCACCACCACACCCAGCCCTCAGTTTGAACTTCTAATAGTGTCGAGCCCTTAGGTAAGTGGCTCAGCCTGTCTGGGCCCTCGGTCTTCTCATCTACAGAATGAATAATGACAGCTGTCTCCAACACGTCTGTGGGGACTTGGGCACAGCCTAAGTAGAAACACCCAGGACAGTGTTAGCTTTTACCAAGTGCTAAAAGCAGGATGAACATGGACAAGACAGACTACTCCCCTGTGCCTTGTCTACGAGCCATCACGTCAGACACCAGGGTAGCCGAGGCTACTCCTATCAGCACCCCCTCCTTTGAGGCAGACAAGCAGCCAGACTTCAGAGGAACTACCTGTATTTATGATGCATTCTTGGGCCTGCACCTGCTGGGTGTCCAGGGATCCATGCAGACAGTGCAGCCCTTATGGCATTTAAAGTCTCACTGGGGAGATTAACCGTCCTTCCCCACACTAATTAGAGAAGACGACAAACAGCACAGAGGTCCCAATGCACAAACTGGTGTTCTCAACGTCCCCTCATAACTTGTGTGACACTTGCGAGTAATTTTTCAATGAAACAGAGCTATAAATTTTGATGAGGTTCCAAAGCTTGCCCACAAAGCTCAAAATGAGACTAAAATATTACATATACAAAGCTTTAGGAAGGGGAAATGTGGCCGCTGCCACAGTGGCGGTTAAACAAGTCAGAAAAACAAGGGATTTAAACAGGCTTTCTAAAACCCCTGCTGAGGAGTGGGCACATCAGGTCAGGGCTCTGCACGGGAGCACAGTGAGTGCCACTGATACAGAGAAATGTGTGGGCCACCAGCACTCTGCCTCATCGAGACAGGCAGGGCTGAGAACCCAGCGTAGAGCTGAGGAAGGTGAGGCAGGACAGCATAAGGAAGCTGTGACCCTGGTTGGCTGCCGAAGCAGGGCCTGATGACAATTAGCTTGTCTTTTTCCACCCAAGGGCACAATAGAATCTTTCCAGTATCTCTGTGGTTGGAGAACCAGCTACGTCCTTGCTCTTACTCCTGGGCCCACAAGGTACCAGCCTTTACTTAGGAGTGTATTACTATACTACCCCAGGGCTAGAGATCACAGTGATCTGAGCCATGGGGCACATACATGCACATGTGTGTACACATGCACAGTGAACCACAGGGTGGCTCTAGGAAAGTGATTTTCTCCTGAAGTCTCAGCTACTATGAGGAAGGAGACTGTGTGCATGCAACAGGAGATCCAGGACTGTGGCAGGAGATCACAGGGCAGAGTTGGCAGCTATTGCTAGCACGCCTTCTTTGTTTATGTGTGTGCAGAGCTAGGGCTGGACCTGTGGCCATCAGCCAATGGCTCCCCCACTGAGCTGTGCCCCAGCCCCAGTGGTGGTTTCTTCTCCACCTCCCATAAAGAA